ACTTGGTTATAGAATCAAGGAATAGTTGGGTTGGAAGGAACCTTAAAAATCATCCAGTTTGTAGTCCTGATCCCTGGGCTTGCAGGTAAGATCTTCTGAAGGTCTCCCCCACATCCCTTCAGACACCCCAGGATCAGCAGAGCGTTGCTGCTTCATCCCCTCCATCCCAGCAGGGCTTGGGAGGAGGGTGGGGACAAGAAGGGAAGAAATCCCTGGGGCTTCACCTGTCAATGCCTCTAACCCACCAGGTGTTGAGTGAACCTCCCTTGGAATTTCAGAGATTCCTGTTCCCACATCAGGGCTGACAAAGAGATCAAACAGAGCCCATTAAAAATGCATCTCTACAAAAGAGAAGCAGGGCAGAAATACTCCTCACAAACCCTCAGCTCCATGTGCACCAGCCAGATTTTTCCTCCCCTCCCAGCAGCACGGCACAGAGATCCCACTCAATACCATCCCTGTTCCTCTGGTATTCCCAAAATGCATCCCTCCAGCTCTCCAGCTTATTTTTCAGTGCTGGAGGTTGTGTTGGCCCTGGGCTTGGCCACGGTCCCTGTGGTGATGGGAGGATCCAATATATTAAATTGTGGGTCCTTGGAGATGTCTCAGTGACCCTGGTCCTGTTCCCCCAGGGGATGACAGACTCACTGCTCTGCTGGCTAAGGCCTGTGCTGGCAATTAATGTGTCCTCTTGATTAATGCTGGCAGGAGGTTAATGACACCATGGCCACCTCGAGGCTGATGTGTGAAAATTGTAATTAGTGTCCAGAGATGAGGCTCAGTGGGAGCTGCAGCTGCAGGGCCAGGTTACACAGCCAGTCAGCACCAAGACCCCACATATCCAGCCCTGAGACCATGACCCCCAGGCCAGGACCCCCATGTCAAGCCCTGGGACCCTGATCCTGAACCCAGGACTCCACCCTGTCCACCCCACAACACAAAGACCCCATTTCCCTGCCTCAGCCCTCTCTTCTTGCCCTACCCCTTGGGGTCCCACACAGCCCAGGTGCTGGGGGGGCTCAGCACCCCCAGCCCCCCTAGTGCAGGACATGTCCTCACCTGATGCATCCTGGTGATGTGCCAGACCTGCCCCCTCCCCACTGCTGCCTCCCCAGAATTACCCACAGGTGACAAGGCCCCAAAGCTTGAGCCTGGGTCTCATTTCACACCAACAGCTGGGAAATTACTCCAGAATCCACCAAAAACCATTTCTGTGGAACACGCTCCCATCCTTAACGACTGTTCTTTTCCAATTAGCTGTCCTGGCCCTGAAATAAAGCTGCTCTTCCTCCCCCATCAATCCATCCCTTTATCTAGACCTGGAATTAAGAAGACAGGGGAAAAAAAAGAGAAGAATAAACATATTCCCCTTTCCTCAATGCCAGGTGGGTTGGAGCCATGGTTAAATTATCTCTGCTGCATTCAGGCAGATCATCAGCTGTAAATTTTATGGAAAACAGTAAAGCTGATAAATAAACATGGTTCTTTTGTCAGGGATGAATATTATTGCAGCTCAGATTTAGAGCTCCCGTCTCCTCCACATTATTCAGCCTTTGTGAAAGTGCTGTCACAGCTTCTGTGTTATCAGGTTGGTTCTTGCCCTGTCATTGAACCAGCGGCAGGAATTTTGTGTGGGATTTTAATGAGGGAGGAAGGGGAGCCCCTTCCCTCTGAGCTGCTCTGGGTGCCCCCCTTTCCCCCCCCCCATTGTTTCCATCCCTGGGCTCATTGCTCAGAACCCTCCCTGGCATCATCTCCTTCAGCAGCAGCAGCATCTCCTCCATGGCAGGGACTGACCCACTGAGTGCAAAACCCACAGGGCTTTGGGGGAGATTCAGGGAGTTTTGGTGCAGATGCTGTTGCTATAGCAACAGCTCAGGCCCCCAGGCAGCCCAGGAGGCTGCAGCCTCACCCAGGGAGGCAGGAAAATGTTGCTGGGGAGGAGAGAGGACAGAAAATAGGTTAGTTTTAGCACAGAAAGGCAGGGAAGGGGGGGTGAGGGTCCCCCCAGCAGCCCCAAGCCTGGGCTGTACGAGGCAGCTGCTCCAGCCCAGGGATGCTCAGGGCTGAGTCATGTGGAAAGATTTGCTGCTGGTTTGGTTTTGGGTTTTTTTTAAATAAAAATAAATCCTGCCAACTCCCCACCCAGCCAGACTGATGGCATCACAAAGCCAGCTGAGCAGGGCAGCTGGGAAAGGTCACCAATTTTGCATGTGAAAAGGATGCAGAAAGGTTGGTTGGCTTCTCTCTCCACTCCAGTCCCACGTGGGTTTAAAAAAAAACAAAAAAACCAAAAAACAACCACCCTGGCATTTAATAAATAAATACATAAAGGGCTTGCAATGAAATAAAGGCATTAAAGCTGCTGTGATCCTCACAGCCATGGGAGAGAGGAAAGGCAGGGAAGGGGGGGTGAGGGTCCCCCCAGCAGCCCCAAGCCTGGGCTGTACGAGGCAGCTGCTCCAGCCCAGGGATGCTCAGGGCTGAGTCATGTGGAAAGATTTGCTGCTGTTTTGGTTTTGGTTTTTTTTTAATAAAAATAAATCCTGCCAACTCCCCACCCAGCCAGACTGATGGCATCACAAAGCCAGCTGAGCAGGGCAGCTGGGAAAGGTCACCAATTTTGCATGTGAAAAGGATGCAGAAAGGTTGGTTGGCTTCTCTCTCCACTCCAGTCCCACGTGGGTTTAAAAAAAAAACAAAAAAACCAAAAAACAACCACCCTGGCATTTAATAAATAAATACATTAAGGGCTTGCAATGAAATAAAGGCATTAAAGCTGCTGTGATCCTCACAGCCATGGGAGAGAGAAAAATACACTTAAAAAAATACAGATAAGCTGATGGTGCTGGAGTTTCCTCTGTCCTGTGGCTGTGGGCTCAGCAGGGGTGTGGTGGAGGTGACAATGTCCCCAGGATGTGGGGGGTCCCCAGGCCAGGGAAAGCCCCCTCCTCACACCTCCCTTTACAGGCCACAGCCCAGGCACACTGGCCACATGCATTGTCATCTCTTAATTGTTTTATCTTGGAGGTTAATTGGCTTTTTGGGGTTTTAATTACTTGCAAGGCACAGAAGGGAACCTTGCCTGCCAGAACGAGTCCCACCTGGTGTGGATCTTGACTCCTGTAAACTCAACACTATATAAATATATATCTATATATATGAAAAAGGCATTTCACCAACTCCTGATAAGCAGGTGATCAGCCAAGTGAAATGGAATAAATCCCACTGATCCTGCTCTTTCTTCAGAGCCAAGGAAGGATGAGAGGCAATGGGAATAAAGCTGGGAGTGAATCTCCCCCCACTCACCTGAATCTGCCTTTAAGTACATGATAAAGGGCATAAAACTCCCGGGAAGGAGCCGCTTTGGTTGTGCTGCCAGTGGTTTAGATACTGGAATTACCTGCAGGGGATGAAAGGCAGGGGGAGAGGAGCTGCCCACCCATGGCTCCCCAGCCCTGGGGGAACCCAGCTGCTGGGAGGGGGTGCTGGGATGCTCAGGTGGCCCCACAAACACACGGGAAGGCAGGAATAGCATCAAAATTTCTCCTTTAATAGCTGGATTGACCTGAGGGTTTGTTCAGACCGAGGTGGGCAGCCCTGTGGGCAGCAGAGGAGCTTGGGCTCTGCTCCATCCCCAGAGCCAGGCTGGCTCCTGGAGCACCTCCAGCCCTTTCTCTGCCAAGGGAAGAGTTAAAAACAGGGCAGCTGCTCCCTATGAACTTATTCACTCACCTCCGTGCAAAGAAGCAGGGACCTGGAGCCCCCAGCCCTGCCCAACCTCTGCTCTGCACACACCTTAGAAAAATATATTTTTATTTAAATTCTCCTTTTTCTCCGTGGAGTTTGCTTCTCTCTCTATGAATCTAGATCAAGGGAAGGCTCTAGATCTTCAACCCATGCAGGGATTTCCCTTCTGACCAAGAGTTAAAAGCCAGTCATTAACTACCTAATGCTAGAAAAGGCTGTGTACAATATATGGCTTCTGCACCTACATCCAAAGGGGGGAGTGAGAGGAGCTGGGAAGCTCATTTGTGCCAAAGCCAGGACAGGGAGGGTGGCAGAGGATGGGGACACAACTGAGGACCACATGCAGCTCAGCACAAAGCCAGGTTGGTGTCCAGCCTGTTCCCAATGCACCCAGAGATCCTTTGGTTTTACTTGAGCAGCACGAGGGTGGGGGCAGGGCTGGGGACCCCCAGTAAGGGGCTAGGTTGGGCCAGAGGAACCCCCAAAGCTCATCCCCCAGGTTTGCTCCCCTCTGCTGAGGGGACATGATGTGTCCAGGCTGTAGAACTGCTCCTGGGGTGGAGGGAGGGCTGTATTAACTCAGGAGCTTTGGGAATGAGGCAAGGACAAGCTGGTGAGTTCCATCAGCTCTTCTGTCTGGGGCCAACACCCCTCTCTGGAGCATCCTCCCCCCGACCTGGGTCTGGGCCACAGGCCCCCCCAGGGCTGGCACAGCATCAATGCCCAGTGTGGTGACCAGGGACACGGGTCTGGCCACAGGCCCCCCCCCCCATCCCCAGGCTGCTGGAGAGTCCCCACAGAGCCATGGGACAGTGTGGGTGACACACACAGCCACCTCATTTGGAGGCATTGTTCTCCTCCATTTCCATACCCAGGAGCTGCAGGATCATCATCCACATGATGCTAGGTGTTGGGAATTCCCCCCCAAGGGGAGCTCAGCCCCCTGTGTGACACCAACATGACATCCCCACCACTACAACAAATCATTGTTGCAGGGCTCAGTGGCAACCAAAAGAGGAGGGGGATAGAGATGTCCAGGTGACAGGACTTTGAGCAACTGGTTCTAATGGGAGGTGTCCCTGCCCATGCAGGGGGGGTTGGAACTAGATGATCTTTAAGGTCCCTTCCAACCCAAACCAGTCTAATTCTATATGATGGTACCTTCATCCCCTGGGTGGCTCCATCCTGCTCGAGTCCACACCAGCGAGGGCCAAGCAAGCTCAGCAGTGGCTGGGGAGCGTTGGTTGCTCATGCAGGGAGTTGATGAACAGCTAAGAGCAGCAGATGGAGAATTCCAAGAAAAGCCACCCACTGGGTGGAAGTAGGCAGAGGCCGGGAAGACCCCAGCCCTTCCTCGCCACGCAGGGTCAGGTCCCCCAGCCACCATCACCATCACCTTGGGTAATAGTCATCCGGGACCCCCGAGAGATTGCGGAGCTTCAGAGCCGCGTCCACCGTTCTGATGTACCCACTGATCACCTTCCTCATCTCGGGGGTGTAGGGGTCGTACTCCAACTTCCTCAAGCCAGACCGCTTGAAGTTGCCGTCCTTCTGTCCCTCGACGCAGAGCAGCCTGTCCTGGCAGGCCCTGATGCCCAGCAGCCCCACCATCCGCTGCAGCTGCACGAACAGGTCCCGCTTCAGGTCCTCAAAGTGAACCACCAGCACCTTCTTGCCGTAGCGCAGCCAGTCCAGGGTGTGGGTCGCCCACCACGGGGCGTAGTTGGCCACAAACTCTGGCCACTCTGGAAGGAGCAGAGGACGTGGTGAGCAAAGGAGCTGTCACCTCAAACCCTGAGCTCGGTTCTGGGCTGCTGACAACGAGGAGGATGTTGGAGCGTGTCCAGAGAAGGACAGCAGAGCCAAGGAAGGGGCTGGAGCACAAGTCTTATGAGGAGCAGCTGAGGGAACTGGGGGTGTTCAGCCTGGGGAAGAGGAGGCTGAGGGGAGACCTTCTTTGGAGAAAAGGAGACTGAGGGGTGACCTCATCCATGTTTACAAATATGTAAGGGGTGAGTGTCAGGGAGATGGAGTTAGGCTTTTCTCAGTGATGACCAGTGATAGGACAAGGGGTAATGGGTGTAAATTGGAGCACAGGAGGTTCAAGGTGAATATCCGAAAAAATGTTTTTCCTGTGAGAGTGCCAGAGCCCTGGGCCAGGCTGCCCAGAGAGGCTGTGGAGTCTCCTTCTCTGGAGACATTCCAACCCCCCTGGTCACGTTCCTGTGTGATGTGCTCTGGGTGCCCCTGCTCTGGCAGGGGGGTTGGACTAGATGATCTTTCAAGGTCCCTTCCAACCCCTGGGATTCTGTGATTCTATGATTCTCACTGGCTACAACAGCCTAAGAGGAGGTTGGAGTGAGAGGGGGACTCTTCTCCCGAGGAACAAGTGATAGGAAAAGAGGAAACAGCCTCAAGCTGTGTCAGAGAAGGTTTAGATTGGATATTGGGAACTATTTCTTCCCAGTAGGGGTGTCAGGCCCTGGCACAGGCTGCCCAGGGTGCAGCCACCATCCCTGGAGGGGTTTCCAAACCCTGGAGATGGTGCTGAGGGACACGGGGCAGGGGTGGCCTGGGCAGGGCTGGGGGAATGGGCTGGATGACCTTAAGTGTCTTTTCCAACCAAAATGATTCCATGATTCTCACATCCCCTGCATCCCACATCCCAGGGCCATACGCCTAGGCTGAAATCCTTCAATTACCCTCTGGCTAATTGATCCTGCCATAAAAACCAGGGGATAAAAGGGGTAATGAAACATCAATAATAAGCCACAGCTCCCCTGGCAGGGCCGTGTACATCTACCTCATGATGCATAAAAGCTCCGGGTACCTGCCTCTTCCTCCCGTCCTCCCCACAAAACCAAGGCCTGATTAACAGCTTAACTGTACTTAATTCCCTGGAGAATCATTCAACACGGTCTCTGTTTCATTAAACAGCCACAGGACAATTCACCTGCTGTAATCGTAGCACATAAAACTTTGCTTTGGAACTGCTCCAGGGACAGTGTAAAACGAACGTGCTGGAGCCAAAGGGGCGCTCAGAGCCTGGGGCTCCGTGCAGGGCTGGGAATGGGGAGAGGGGAAGGGAAATCCCTCTTGGTGCCAGGACAGGGCATGGCTTTTTTTTTTCTCAAAATTGCCCCAAAATTCGTTCCTGGGAGCAGGAAATAGTTTGGGGAGCAGGGCCAGGGGAAGGCATGGGAGCCCCACGGCTCTGTCTGATTTACTCACTTTTAATCACTTTAACCCATCAGTTAATTAACCCAGACACCCTCTGGCAGGGACTTGGTGATGCATTTGGATGTGTGGCCACACTGGAGAGTGCTGGGGTGGGTGGAGGGAAAGATCTCCTCTGCCTGCCCCCCTTCCTCTTACACATGACACAAACGTGGGGGGCGTTGGGGCTGGGATAGCTCAGGAGGTTCCTGAGGTTCTGGGGTTCCTGCGAGGGGATTGTCCTGCATTCCCCCTCTGGATTGGATCTGCAATTCACAGTTGTCCTTTGGGATGCAGCAGATGGGGATTAAAAAACCAAAACAAACAAAAAAACACCTCAGGAGGGGTTCATGACCCCCACAAAAGGGGTGATGCCAGCCCAAGGACCTGCCCAGGGGGACAAGCCACTGGTGGAGCAGTGGGACACGGCACTGGTGGAGCAGTGGGACATTTCCCATCCCTAGTTTTAGGGGATGGGGCAGTGGGGAGAGCAGGGCTGGTCTCCAGGGCTGCAAGCACATGGTGATAATGAACTCCAGGCACATAACAGTAACAGCAGCAAGAGCTCCCCTTAAATAAACTTGGAATTAAGGGTAGCAGATGTTCAATCAAGCTAAATATTTTAACTCTTTCCAATGATGCCAATTCCACAACAGCAATTTGGAAATTGCTCTAATTAAGCAGCCTCCAGAACACGCCTGGGGGTGGCAGTGGGAAGGCAGAGCTGAGGTGCTGCCTGCCATCCCTTCCTGACACCCTTCTGTGGGCAGGGTGGTCCTGCTGGGATCCAGCTTCAGATCCGGCATTGCCATGGGGATGCTGCAGCCCCACACCCATGCATGTGCCCACCAGGTGATGGATAGACAAGGCTGATGGATACCAATATCTTTTTAACCTCTCTTGTCTCCATCTGCCCACCCCAGCATTCAGGCCAGCTGCCTTTGGCCTTGAAGAGCTGCTCCAAATAAGGGGCAGAGTTTGGGTCTCTGCTGACCCAACTCATTCTCTCCTCATTGGCACCAGGTTGCACTTGTGTCCCTAGGTACTGCCACCCCTTTGCTGCTGCCTTTGTGACCCAACACAGCAACAAAGAGCATCCTGACTTCTCCATCCATCCCATTCCAGCCATGCAGGTGCCCTCATCCATGCCGGATGGATGCTGCAGGTGGAAACCCAGAAGATGCTCTTCCAACATGGGAACCCCAAAGGAATGGCACAGCCAAAGCTTCTCCCCCATGGGGGCTAGACCTAGGTTCTGCTGAGCTTTAACAACAGCTTTAAGCTCCATCAGCCAGGCTGGAGACCATCCAAATCCCACGGAAGCAGGACCAGCCTACCTTTGCCCTTCCAGTGGGCATGAGCAGCAAAGCCGATGTGTCCCCCGTACTTGCGGTTGAACTCGGCCATCAGAGCCTTGTAGGGGTTCCTGATGAGCAGGATGGCTGAGTCGAAGGATTCGATCTCCTTCTGGCCACTTTCATGGGTTTTGATGCAGATGGTCCTCCCACTTCTCCAGTGGTCCCGCTCGCCCTTGAACCCTGCAAGGGAGCAAGTGGGTGCCCCTGGGAATTAAAGTGATCCAAGGGGAAAGGAAAGGGCTCGAGGGGGGGATATCAGCTTGCAAAGTGCAGCTGGATAAATGCTGCTGGGGCTGGAAGCAGACTCTGCAGCCCTCTCCCAGCTGGAACTATGAGTAGTGTAAAACTCCCTGTACATAATGGGGGGCAGCAGGAAGAGGGGCAAGCAGGTCCCACACCACGGGCAGCAATGCCCAGCTCTTCAAGATTTGCCAAATTCAGCCTTTCAAGGATGGAGATGACACCAGGACCTTCCCCTTACCCAAGTGGGGCTGGTGCAGCCCTGGCAATGAACCCCTCTCTCACCTTTGTTGTAGAGAGACCCGTCAAAGTAGTAGCTGCCGGTGTAGAAGCCGGTGGCCAGCTCGATCAGGTGACGTGCCCAGGTGTTGCCAGCCCCAGGGAAGCTGGCCAGGGCCACCAGCTGCTTGGCACGGCTGGGAAGAAACCTCCTGTCCATGCAGCGGTTGTCTGCAGTGAGAAGAACCCGAGGGACGTGGTCACTTTTCATGGAAGCTCCTTCCCAGGAGGGGCTCGGGAGGCGGTGCCGGCAGCCGGCGGGATGAGCCCGGCGCCTCCTCACCTTGCACTTGGGTCTGGTAGACCAGGAGGAACTCGGCGCTGCCGCAGCTCTCGAACTCCTCACCGGGGCACTTCTGGGCACACAGCTGCTCGTCCTCACGCTCGTGCAGGGTGAAGAGTGTGGTGGGGAAACCGCAGTGGCAGGAGGTCCAAGCCAGGGCTGACAGCGGGTACTCCTGCAGGGATGGGGGCAGGGCAGCTGGGGGCACCAGCCCCCCCACACCCTGCCTCTGCCCTGTGCCCATCCTCCCCACCTTGGCCCCTAGGCAGCACAGGGTGCTGCAGCATCCCTCCAGCTCTGGAAGAGCTCTCCCTCTTCTTTCACCTGATAATTCAATAATGAAGCTTTCCAACCCCCTTCCCCCCAGTACCTTCTCCGTGCAGAAGTCCACACACTTGTCCACTGACATGTTCAGCATGACCTGGCTGACGGGCAAGGCGATGGAGACGTTGTCCGGCCGGCGGAAGCACCCCCGGAATATGGCACTGCCATCTGCAAGGGAAGGGAGGCCCCAGCAGCACTGAGACCCATGCTGGCCTGGCCACCAGGAGCAGGGGCTGCCCCCAGTACCTTCTCCGTGCAGAAGTCCACACACTTGTCCACTGACATGTTCAGCATGACCTGGCTGACGGGCAAGGCGATGGAGACGTTGTCCGGCCGGCGGAAGCACCCCCGGAATATGGCACTGCCATCTGCAAGGGAAGGGAGGCCCCAGCAGCACTGAGACCCATGCTGGCCTGGCCACCAGGAGCAGGGGCTGCACCCCAAAAATGCTGCTGCTGCCACCCTGCCTGCCCCAGGATGGGGAGCCAGAGCCTCTGTGTGCCCTGGTGTCCCCATCCCTGCTCCCCACCCCTGGCCATGAGGTGATCACCAACATGCTCGCCCAGCTGCTTATGGTGCAAAATCAAAGCAAAATTCCCAGCAGCAAAGTTGGGTTTGTATTTTCCTCCTTAGTTTTATCAGCTCAGGCTGCAGGAGGGACAGAGCCAGAGAGGAGAGCAGGGGGCTCCAATCAGGAAAGAATTCTCGGGTACTCTGTTCTCTTCTATTCTCTTCTATTCTCTTCTATATTCCTGTTCTATCTCTATTCCTTTTCCCTTCTAAACCAGGATCCCAGTGGTTCAAAGGAGAAAACTCCCCTCCCACTGGCACCACAAACTCCCAAACCACCTCTCCAGAGCTGCGACTCAGCGTGGGAATGCCAGGACTCACTCCCACTGGCACCCCAAGGGAATGCCCCCCGTTCCAGGAGCCAGATCCCTGCCACCAACTCACATCTGCGGGCGGACTCCTGGGCCAGCTCCAGGCGGTACACGGAGAGGCGGTTGGCGCCGCCGCACAGGTTGCTCCTCTCTCCCTTGCATTCCATGTTGCACTCGGACTCGCTGGCGTTCGGCGCCTGGATCTTGTGCCCACAGTAACACTCGGCACCGAATTCCAGCCCTGCGTAGAGGTAGCCCCTGGGGAGAGGGAGATGGGGGCTCAGACCGTGCCCAGGCATCCCTCTGGCTCTGCTGGGTGTTGCAGCAGCTCATGCCCAGTGCTGCAGCAGCTCATGCCCAGTGCTGCAGCAGCTCATGCCCAGTGCTGCAGCCCCAGGGTGCCTTGTGGTACTAGGTGATCATTGTAGGTCCCTTCCAACTGCAAATACTTGATCCTACCCTAATTCTATTCCATCCCATTCTAATTCCATCCCATCCCACCCTAATTCCATCCTATCCTTATTTTACTCTATTCTATCCTCTATTCTAGTCCATTTAATCCCATTCCAAATCTATCCCATCCTAATTCTATCCTGATTCCATCCTGTCCCAGTGTGGAGCAGCTGGCTTGGCTCACAGACAAGTCCATCTCATGAGCACCTTGAGGATGAGCTCTTGGCAGGGGATATGTCCCTGCTGGGTAAGGACCCTTTGCAGGGGTGTCCCCAGGTGCTGTAGGACCCTGCAGGGGTGAGTTTTGGCTCCAAGGGAGTTTGGAAACATCAAAGTGCCAGGGGTGCTGCCCTGCACGGGCTGTGGTTACAGCACATCCTTCAGGAACCATCAGGGAATGGAGAAAACTGCCCAAGGGATCCGTGTGTCTCATCAGCTGCAGTTTGGGAAGCTCTGGGGAGGGTGTTTTGGTGGGGTCAGCCCTGGGCAGATGGGAGCACCCAAGGCTCCCCCCAGCACCCAACTAGAGCCTTTACACCCTGCTGTGAGGATGGGCCCCATGATCCCCTCTGATGTTCTTCCAGCAGGGGAAACTGGAGTCCTGGAAAGCACCAGTGAATTAAAAATAAAAAGAATTTTTAAAAAAGGAATAAAATAAAATAAAAAAAATTAAAAGTATCAAATAATTAAAATTAAAAATAAAAATGAAAAATGAAAACTTAAAAATAAAAGAAAAATTAACTAATATAAAAATATAAATAAAATAAAAAATAAAAATCGAATAAAATATGAAATAAAATCTCAAATAAAATATGAAATAAAAGAGAAAATAAAAAATAAAAAACAAAATATCAAAAATATTAAACATTCAAAAATTTTAAATATCATAAAATAAACGATGAAAAAATGAAATAAGCTATGAAAAAATGAAATTAAATATGAAAAATATGGAATAAAATATGGAATTAAATAAAATGAGAAATCCAAAGGCAGGTGGGGAGGAGCAGGGCAGGGCAGGGCAGG